GCTCCCCAAATGCTCTCCTGTTTCCTTCCACCTTTCCAATGGCTTGAGCGGTTGACGTGTTGTACTGTGCCCTTGGTGAAGACTTGGCCTCGAGTCCCTTCTTCCCAGAAGTCTACGTATTCTGTAAAGAGAGGTTTCAGACACTTCCCAATGGGATATATCTTTCTCTATACAAGTGTACACTTTTTTATTCTTCACATAAAAAGATGAAATATTTAAAGATTTAAGTCACATCTAGATAAGCCTGGTTATGAAATGATTTCCTATGACATGCAGCTAGTAATCATTGGCCAGTGTATTAAGAATTGCAAGCGTATAATGCAATAAGCAAAACATTATTGTGGTGCCAGAAATCCAAAGAGATAAGCGGGTTGTGTGTGTCTTGCATTTCCATCTGCATGGAGTTGCAGGCAAGGTGACAACTCCCTGGAGTGAGGAATCGCACTTGTGTGGAATTCATTTGCGTCCCTCAGGTCTCTCTAGTGTGGGCAAATCTGGCGTGACCCCAATTCAGGATGAACTGCAGAAACTTGGCAGTTTGTAAACTTGTCCTGTGTCGCTTCGTGGCTCTGGCGCGTTTGTCCCAGCAGCTCTAACAGTGCCCAGCAGCTCTGACGAGCCTCAGGCCCGGAGCACTGGGTGCTCTTTTGCTTTATTCAGGCTTCGTAATTTCTCCGCTGACGTTTGCAGCCAGTGATGTTAGTTCCCGTGTGCTTGTGCTCTGTGTGCAGGGCAAAAAAGGCGGCGGCAGAATTAGAGACATGGAGTTGAGCAGCAAGAGCCCCGGTGCTTTGCTAATTCCCGAAGCAGCGGCGCGGCTCGTGCCCGCCCCTACACGGGCGTCTCATCGGTGTCGTCGCCCTCGTTGTGCTCCGCGGCGCGCGGCCGCAGCTCCGCCGGCGCCGGCCGCCTGCACAGCGTCTGCAGCAGCGACTTGCGGAAGGATTTGCAGAGAAAAAAGTATATGAAGGGGTCGAGGCAGGCGTTGAGGGAGGTGAGCCACAGCGTGCTCTCCTTCACGTAGAACAAGGTCCTCTGAGCTGAGCAGTCAAACACGTGCCTCGTTTGGCTCAGCGTGTAGGGGATCCTGGTAAAATGGAAGGGCACAAAGCAAATGAAGAACACGGCAATGATGATGAAAACCTTCAGATTTACAGCCTTTTTGGACACCGCTTTCCCTGTGCTTTTGGTCCTCCTGTAGGATTTGTAGAGCTCTCGGGTTATGAGTGCGTAGCACACCACGATGACCGCCAGGCTCGCCCAGAAGATGAGCTGGCAGATGTAGTTGACGATCTCGTGCCAGACGAGGCCGAAGGCGGATTTGAGGAGAGCGCACTTCCTCACGTTCCTCGGCGTTTTCTTCTTGTTCGTTAGGATCATGTTGGGTAGGGAGAGAGCGAACATGGACACCCAGATCGCTGTGGACAGGAGCTTGGCACCCAGCAGGCTCCTCGTGGTTGACGTGCGGAAGGGCGAGGTGGCCTTTTGGTAGCGGTCGATGGTTATGAGGGCAAGAAACAAAATGCTGATGTACATGGTGAAGTAGAAGACCACCTGGGAGACCTGGCAGACGAATCCCCGCAGCATCCACGGCACCAGCTTCGCGTCGCTCAGGATCTTGAAGGGAAACGTTAGCACCATGAGGATGTCGGAAATCACTGTGTTCTTGAGGAAGATGATGAAGTTGGATTTACTGGATATTTTGAAGAAAATCCAGGTGGCCAGGCCGTTCATGGTGATGCCCACCAGGAAGAGAAGCGTGTAGAGCAGCGGGAAGATGACCTGGCTGATCCTGCTGTCGCTGGCGCAGGCGCTCTCGTTCCTGAAGGCGCTGAGGTTGCCCGTGGCTTGCGTTGGCATCGCGGCCTCTGCCCCTCCTGCGGAAAACAGGCAAACAAGGGGTTTTAGAGTTAATTTGGGAGATCTTTGGAACCAACTTGCAGTTTTGGGGGCCAACTGCTCTAGGCTGCCCCGTTTACCCTACCACAGATGCCCTTTCTATTGGTGTTGGGCAGGAGCCCTGTGAGCCGCGGCGGCCGCTCCGCAGTGCACGGTCGCGGGACGGCGCTGCGGTTTCATAACTGCCGACATGCGTTACAAAAAAGGCAAGCAGCTTTTTATTATTCCTTTTGCCCTGAAATCGGGGAGAGGAGCATCCCTTTCTGCTTCCTCCTTGCCATGGCAGAGGGGCAGTGTTAGGCCGCTTGTGACCGCGGGTTTCGCAGTGAGTGACGGTCCCCCCGTGCGTGGCTCCCAGGGGCGCACGTAGCGCTCCAGAGCGTCGCTCCTCTTTTCATTCCTCCTCAGACAGACCAGACACTGGGAACTGCTCCTTAACTGGGCCTGTTCGTTAGCGCGGGGGCTCTCCTAGCTGCCGCTTACACATCTACTACCAGATCCTCTCGGGTCACGTTCTTGTGGTTTCATTTCTGCAGACACAAGGCATTTATCTGTCCCGTTACCTCCGCTTTGGCTCTTCCTGCCAGCACGGTCCGAGTGAGTCGCTGTGTCAGGGCTGTGCTGCAGCTTAACTTGCCCTTCAGATTTGCAAACCCAGCGTTTCGCTGACGCGGAGCGGCGCCGTGCGGGAGCCGCCACCACCAGCGCGCGCAGCCCCTTGCACGACCCTGCTCCCCACGGGCCGCCGGCCGTTTCCTTTAGGAAGGCGTCACGTTTGGGGTGACGGTGATGATGGTTGCAAGGGCTTTGAAAGGGATTCCCAGGCTGGCCTGCGCTTGGAGC